TGGAAAAAGAATTGACCCAGAGGGAAAAAAGGGGTGTGGGTATCAGGAACCACACTGATCTGAAGTTTGTACTGAACGGCCAGTGTCTGCCTCCGTGTTGACGTGTTTCTCACCGTGTTCTCTCAGATAGCTCCCATTGACCAAAGGCCCGGCTAGTCCAGACACCTGGCACTTACCACCACAGTTCAGAGGTGGCGTAACACAATTGCAATACACATCTAATTGCATTTAGAGGTCCCCATCCCTGACAGAATCTAGTGCAACACATTTTGAGTGAACACAGCAGGTAGTGGTTCTTTTTTCTCTCCGAGTGCTTACAATCTACTGCATTGTCACGATGGACTGAAGTCCCGCATCACCACACAAGGACAGATTTATCACAGCAGGTCAGAAAATATGGACGTGCATCATAAATGTCCATATCTTTAAGACACAAGTGATGTCTGCCCATCACAGGTCAAGAACGAAGACAAGAGGCCTCCGATGAGAGCTCTTACCTGCTCCTGACACGTAGCTTAACCCCTTCTTCCCTTGCGGGCTGGCTGTCTTGGCACTGGGCGTGGTCCAAGGGCAGGCTGGGAGTGGACAGAGCAGCAGGCCCACAGGCGTGATCATCCCCACATCCCTCCCTGCATGGAGGACAACACAACACCAGGCTGCAGTGACGCAACACAACCACCAGGGGCCCGATGTCGAGCTACTCTCGTCCCAGCTGCTGTACGTGAACCCCACGCCAGCAGCCCTATCACCTTGCAGCTCACAGCTGGCAGCCCCACTGGAGCTCAGCAGGTGTGAGCCTGGCCAGTACCTGGATGCGAGACCTCCTGGGAAAAGCTAAGGTTGCTGCTGGTGGAGGTGTTAGTGGGGCCAGCAGGGGGCGCTCACCCTGCGGTCCATGTGGGTCCCAATGCCCTAGTATAGTGACGAGGACATAATACTGTAAGAAAAAATAGGTGCTGCCCTTTGGATGAGACGTTAAACTGAGGTCCTGACTCTCTGTGGTCATTAAAAATCCCAGGGCGTTTCTCGAAAAGAGTAGGGGTGTCACCCTGGCATCCTGGCCAGATTTGCTATTGGCCCTTACCAATCATGACCTCCTAATAATCCCCATCTATGAACTGGCTTCATCACTCTGCTCTCCTCCCCACTGATAGCTGGTGTGTGGTGAGTGTACTGGCGCACTATGGCTGCTATTGCATCATCCAGGTGGGGCTGCACACTGGTGGTGGAGGGGATCCCCATTACCTGTAAAGCACTTTGAATCGAGTATCCAGGAAAGTGCTATATAAGTGATTATTATTATTATTTCCACTTTATAGTCCACTTATTTTAAGTAGTTTCTTCTGAATTTCTTTGTAGAAATTGTCATTTCAGGACTTCATGTTTCCATATATCACAAGTGCTAGTTTTGGGGTTTTAGTAGTTTCTAACTGTGTGGTCCCCTGTCATGCTTACAGTATGTAGATCTTCCCATTTTTATGAGATGTTAGATACTATGAAAAACACTTCCTGACCTCATATACTCCTCCATTACAGTGGGACCAACATAGCATACCTTTCAACTGGAAAATGACTTCTCCATAAGTCATCCCAGTGACTGCGCAATATTTTTGTATGCTGCGCATACTCTTTAAATCTCTAATTGGATTAAATCAGGATACAAATAACTATGATAAAAATGGAAATATGCACCCACAAACCTATTAAATAAGGTTTCAAAGTGTAGCACATTACAAAATGTTGGCATTTTAGACTGAATGCTGTCCCCTTTTCATCATTCACATACAGCACACATAATGAAACAAAGGTCAGACCTCATTATGCTGGAATAAACCTGTACTTTAGAGACACTAAGGAGCTTATATTCAGGTTTAGTCCTCAGCCTGACCACAAATCAGAGGATAAAAACAGTAGTCAGCCAAGGCCCAAATCCTCAGGTTTGTTTTACAGAGGAAAAACAACAGTCTAGCCAATACAAAGAAAACAAACTAGTAAATTAAGCGAAAGACCTGAAGACATTACATGGTTTTTAACTCTTTTTAACTCTTTACCTTGAATGCACAATTAGTAGATTTTGGTCTCAAAAGTACCTCCCGCTGAAATTGCTGAAAATAATTTCAAACAATAACTGATTTTCTGAAAATTGCTACTTTACAAATACAATACTTGCTATTCCATCTGAAATGTGTAAATTGAGGAATATCTGTAAAAAACGTATTCCAAAAAAGCGCACTGATTAACAACACAGACTTGGAAACACTGAATTTTACAGTATTTCTCTCCCTTATCTTTTTGTGTCTAATTCGGCACTCCCATTTACAGAACCAGACTTGGCTTTTTCAAGTGTTTGTCAAGGGAGTCTCTGCCTGTACACCAAACATTTCATAACAGTACCACGTCATTATCACACATTCAATTAAAACTATAATCAATATACACAGGTGAAGTAAGGGCAGCTATCAGGATGCCGGCTAACAGGATCGTAGCTCAAATAGCTATCAAATAGCGCTACTCAAGAAGGAATGAAGACTGTTAAGTCCATGGATTCACATGCTAACACCTTAGACATTTTGCATGGTGCTAGTCACCATGGGGTGGAGTGGTGACTCTGTGGCTAAGGATCTGTGCCTGTGGCTGGAAAGTTGCCGGTTCAAATCCTGCAGCCGGCAAAGGGATCCTACTCCGTTGGGCCCCTGAGCAAGGCCCTTAACCCCAGCTGCTCCGGGGGCGCTGTACAATGGCTGACCCTGCGCTCTGACCCCAAGCTTCTCTCCCTGTCTGTGTGTCTGTGTCTCACGGAGAGCAAGCTGGGGTATGCGAAAAGACAAATTCCTAATGCAAGAAATTGTATAGGGCTAATAAAGCAACATTATCATTATCACTATTTTTCCATATGCGTCCATAAACATGAATTCATTTGGAAGAATTAGTTTCTTATGAATATTTTATTTAGTGCAGATTTCTGACATTGCAAGAATGGCCATTTGCCCACAGTCTTTGTGGTACATCACTCCCCATCGGATACAGCCAGGAAAATGATCACATAGTGGCTTGGAGGAAGGAGACACATGCAAATTAACACTCAGCATCGTTTATAATGAGAGGCAGTAAGATGTGTCCTCCTGTAACAGGGCAACATAGTGGGAAGTGTAAAAATGGGCTCAAGCCGCCCGAGGACAATGTTGAGACTCTCCCTAAACAAGAAGAGTTGACATTCCCACGAGGAAAACAGGAAACGGGCCGCACCTGTGGACACAGTTCCCTATAAGCAGTCACTCTGAGTTGAGCAGCACACTCGATCATTGAAGTGCCAGCCTGCCGGTAAGAAAGAAGGTGAATATTGATGGGACTGGCCTAAACAGGATCGACCGTGTTGGGTTCTGCACTGCTACTGGTCCGGGTGAAGAGAGAGTTAGGCGAGTCATTAATCGGACAAGAATAGGGAGGGAAGGAAAGTTAACATGAGGTACTGTATGTTCCAGGTGCCAGCTAAATGCCCATAATATAGAGACGGTTTATGAGCAGGTTCCCCCTGTAATGTTACCAATTAAGGGGGGATCTGTTACATCTGGTGGTAGAAGTGGGATGGCAGTGGCATCAATCATTCAGGGCCACAATAATTTATTTTCTAGGGAAATTAATGGAGGTGGCTATAACAGCACTGATATAGGCTGTTGCCATGCAACAGGAAGCAACCAGAATACAAGAAGAGGCGATTGCAGCTCAACGGGAAGTGATCGCAGCTCAGCAGGAAGCTACTAGGGTCCTACATGAAAAACCAGCTGCTCAGCTGATACTGAGTATTGGTGTCAGAAGAGTGGAAGTAATAATAAGCACCACACGTCTGGCACAAGTCTTCCCACTCTCCCTCAAGAAATAAACGGAGACATTTCCAATCAATCTCAGAATATAGAGGCGCAGAATCAAAGATTGACACGGAGATTAAAAATGAGAAAAATCCCCTGAGGTCCTATTTTTCATATAAGAAGGACCTCGCAAGAGACGGAATATCGATGTTATACATGCGGAGAATGGGGTCACATATTGGCAACTCGAGGGGCCACTACCCTTGAACCTTTAGACTGCAGCTTTTGCAAGCATACCAGTGCAAATGAATCCTCACTTTCTCACTGTGTGATATAGGGTCAATTGATGTGAGATGAGAACCAGTAATGTGTTCTGCTGAGGGTGCCTCTACAACATTTAAAAATGCTAACCCTTCAGAATGTCTTCAGCATTTAATCAGTTTAAATAAGAAAGAATTGCTCAGTAGAATTTTAGATCTGTGGCCATTGTCTAAAGGGAAAATGACACATATCTGAAAATATTCCACTAAACCAAGATGGCAATTATCAACCAATCAAAGTGCTTATGTTTTCATAGGTGATAAACATCACATGTTCTGGATTCCCTGAACCTGAAGGTGCAGTTGTTTTAGTTGAAAATGGCCTGAAGGTGGGGTCACAAAAGGAATGTGAAATATTGTCCCATGAAGGAAATGTTACATTAATAAGTTTGAAGTTTCATACACACTTCAGTTACTCTTCACTGATGCATGTCACCTAGACATCACAGCTATACGGAATCTAGTTATAAACAGAAATGATAAGGTTTATAATGCGTCTCTCATGAGGTTTTGAGTTATGTATTTCAGATATTGAATTTAAAGCACTGGCAATTACATTCATCAAAAATATTTTGTATCTGATGTATTATTTTCAGTCCTTGTTTTCAAAGTATTAACCAGATGGTAGTTAGTTAATTACAATACTAACAGATGTATTCTATTTTCTGGTTGTATCTTGCAAACAGTGAGCTCATAAATGTATTATATCAATCTTCTGCAGAATACTGTATTTATGGTATATAAGTCAAACTTGACCACATATCTATAATCACACTGTATGATATGTGATTATAATTGGCTCCATTTACCAATTAAGCCAATTAAGTAGATTTTACCCAAATCTACTTAAAAATATACATCTGGTATACGTTTAACATACAGTATGAGTGCTTTATTTTTTATTCAATATAATATCCAATGTAATACCTAAGAATGTCCTAATTTTATTCCTTGCAAGCCCTCTAATTTGCAACTTCTAAATCACGATACTTAAACGGCGAATCTTAGCCCGCCAGTGGCTTTTCCTTAATTATTTAACCTCAGGGTGGACTTTGCGCCGGGCTGAGAACTAGCTTTTCAGAACTCTTTTCTTCTTTTCGTCTATACACAGTGAGATATTGGGGCTGGGCTCTGGCTGATAAGTGCAGTACTGGAGCCTGGTCTTGGGGCTCACTGACTGAATGACATTACAACCTCAAGAATGCAGCTTCCCAGAAGGCCTTTCTTTGCCTTTAATCTCCTTGGCTCTTACTTGGCACTACCTGCCTCCCTCATGCCTTCTCTGTCTGTTTCTTTTCCTTCCCTAGCCTGCAGGTGCCTACACCCGTAATAGGGTATTTAAATTAGAATTTTCTCCGCAATGGTTTTTAAGTACTCAGACTGGTTTCTGATCTCCATATGTCACAAACATCTGCGGAACGTCTGATGTCAGAAAGAATGACAGGTCCAGGCCTTTCCACCAGTTTCTCACAAAGTATAGTGCTGACAAACATACCCTTAAAC